TGCGAATGTTTATGGATGGATGTTTGTTTAAAGATATCTCCGGAACGGCTAAACGGATAAAGATGAAATATGGCATAGATATAGAAAATAGTCTGGAAGAACACAAAGGCTACTAATACTAATTACGTTTTTTTTTTAATTCCGCGCGAAAGAAGTCGCGGGTGACAGCTAGTACTACACTAGTATCGGTAGTGTTTCAAAGACACTGGGGAAATATGTTTTTACACATTACTATGATTACGATGAGGCCGAAAAGTTCTAGAGTGGCGGCAGTAGACGGGTCGACACGGCGTAGATAGGCCTCCCGCACGATGGACCGATGTCCTGGTCAAGGTTGCGAGAGTACACTGGATGCAGGCGGCACAGGGCCGATGTGGCAATCGATGGGGGAGTCCTACGTTCAGCAATGGACGAACTAGGGCTGAATGGGATATGATGATGACAGTAAAAACGCGGTGTATTTTGTACTACAAAATTTATCCGAAACTATATTGCGTTGTTTTTCTTAACCTACAAAGTAGATCTTCAATATGCAAACAATGTTAATGACCCGAAAAAAAAAATTCCTCCTTAGAAGAAAAAAAATGTTCTGGATATACCTCATAAAAAAACATTGCTTCCGTAATTTTAGGTTAGTTCAGTTATTTACTTAACTTCTTATCTTTATGCTTTTGTCTTATGGAGAAATGTTTTTTGATTTTAAAATAACAACAATGTTGACTTCAAACAACATAAACAATTAAAGTGTATCCAGTTATTCTGTTTTAATTAAAAACCTAGTCTTAAGCAACTGCCGTAGTTAAGCTTTGACTTTGATAAATTACTGAAACTATGTCGGAAGCGTGGGCTAAGTTTTAATGAATCGGAAATAGAGTTGAGATGGACTGAGAATTATAAGTACTGAAATCTTTTTAATATTTGCAAGATAAAGAAGACAAAAGTAACTGGAAACCTATTCCGAATTTGTTTGTTTTTTTTTATATCATAAGGTGGCAATCGAGCAAGCGGCCACCTGAAATCGCTGAAATAGCGAAGTGACCGTTGCCCATAGACATACGCAATTGCATATGCGTTGCCTATCTTTAATCGACGGAGGTGAGGATGCACAGAGAGAAAATATTCTTCCTTCCATGCATCCTCTCATCCGGAAAGTCCACTTCTAATTCCCATCCTTTCCTTATGAGAAATAGGTTAGGAAAGGAAAGAGGACCAAATAAGGCCTCCGGGACGCACGGTCATCAGACGAAACGCGGAATAGCTTCCACTTGACGCCTGTCTTCTGTGTGGTCGTGGTATTTCACCGGACGAGCCGGGCCAATTCGTGCGAATATGTTAAAGCGGGCTCTAACACTGTACAAATACACTCAAAAACTGCTTGTACGAGTTTTAAATTTCTTTCACCATAATATAGGTACAATATCCCTGAGTTACATATGTAAGCTATATTTGATTTTCTTGCTTGCATCTTAGTACCAAAAAAAGGCCTTCTAATAGTTATTGGTGACTACGAATTTTTTAGCAAATTTTATAATTATATGTTGTTGCCACTATTACACGTAACCCCGTCTGCATGGAATAAAAATTGTAAATATAGGATATGTATTCTTCTAGACTATGTTCTACAACTGTCGTATTTCTTCATGATCCGTTGATCCGTTCCGGAGTTACCTTCAAACAAACATCCATCCAATCATCCACCTAAACTTCCTCATATATATATAAAAAAAAGTCGTGTTAGTTACACTATTTAAAACTCAAGAACCGCTTTACCGATATGGCTGAAAATTGGTGATGAGGTAGCTTAGAGCCAGGAGCCAGACATAGGATACTATTTATTCATTTTTTTCGAATGTAAACCTCGAAGAGCTGCGCTATTTATTATCTATATGTTAAGTTTTTTTATATATCCACGAGGACGAAGTCACGGGGGACAGCTAGTTTATGATATTAGATAGATCGCCATTATTGGGTAAGTATATTAAAATCTTGTCTAAATATCAACACTGAAGTTAATTACAACAACTAAGCTTCCTTGAGATCATATTTCAAGAGATTTTCATAATTAATCAAAGACAATGTCACTAAACTATTTTATGCGAATAAAATCCTACTAAAATTAATTTACACTATGCCAAAACGTTTTTTTTTAAATAAATGTTGTTAAAATTATTCTATGAATATGTACAAAATAATATCTCAACTTAGATATGACGGAGATAATAAACTTTGTAGCTTTATTTTAAAGATTGATAAAAGCACGTGTTTGAATCTAATACAAACTGAATACAAACTAACTGTCGCCCGCGACTCCGTCCGCGTGGATATAAGAAAACTTAATATACACAATAGATAGGTTAAATAAAAAGCAGTCCTTCAAGGCATAAATTCGAAAAAAAAGTTAATAAATAGTATCCTACGTCTCTCCTGGTTCTAAGCTACCTCCTCACCAATTTTCAACCATATCTGTAAAGCCGTTCTTGAGTTATAGTGTAACTTACACGACTTTCTTTTATATAGATAGATTGATGAGAATGTTTGGATGGAAGGATGGATTTTGGTTAGAAGGTATCTGTAGAACGACTGCATGGATCTCACTGAAACTTGGCATCGATGTAGCCTATGTTCTTTCAGACTATGTTCTACACATAGTCTGAAAGAACATAGGCTACCAATTATGTATTTTGTTATCAATTCCGCGTGATAGCTTTTTTATGAAAGCAATATAACAAAACCAACACTTGGTCAGAATGAGACAAGTCTTAAACTTGTTCCGTACAAAAAAATCGTCAAAGTTCCGTCGCGCCAGTTTTGATGTTATAAAAAGAATTGGACAAAACTTTTTTTTCTACAACAATAAAACGTCGTAACCTTCGTTCCAGGTTTTTTTATTGAGCACTAAATTTTCCCAATTTTGCGTTTACGCTACGCAATAAATAACAACTTGGTTTGGAATGTTTTTGTATGATTTTATAATCACAAGAGCCAGACTTCTGGAGACTTTCTCATTCAAACTTTGTGACCCCTTTTCTACTGAACTAGACGTTCACAGACGCTCACTAGCTGTCTCCCACGACTCCGTTCACACGGAAATAAACAAAATATAAACTGAATTAGTAACCTATGTTTTCTTCCAGACAATGTTCTATATGTATGCCAAATTTCATCGAGATCCGTTCAGCCGTTCTGGAGCCATCCTCCAAACATTCGTTCACCTTTTTAATATTAGTAAGACGTACAGCTTCCAATAGTGTATCTATGACGGTTTAAAAATAAAGTAGCTCTTACCGTTAAAAAAATAGGGACGTGTCATAAAGGTACTGTGCTTCTTATGACTTGTCCGTAATTCGTATTTAAGCCTCTTTTTTCATCCAATCCTTTATTAACCTTCACCTAGGTAAAGACTACCATAGTTTGGGCAACTATTTTCTATTTTTCCTTCCTCCTATAAAACTATTAATAATTAACATCAAAATCAAACAAAAAAACTCTTTAATAAAAGGATTTTTATTAATAAATCATAGCACGTTTTAACGTAAAATTAGTTCCTTTATATAATAACTTAATTAAGAGATCCGTCGCCGAAAACATCGGCTTCCTGGGACCGTTTTGTCTTGTCATGACTTTGATAAATAGCTGTAGCAAGTACATTGAATTAATGAGGACAACATCATACAAAATGTAGTCAACATTTTGTTCTTATTAAAAATAGTGTGTTGAAATGGTTTGCTGAATGAAGATAAAACCATAATTATAGTTGTCGGCATTTTAACAGTGGTAGAGCCAGCAGCTTGACTATTGGACTGGCTCACTCGACCAATACCACGACCACACAGAAGACAGGCGTTAACTCTAAATATTTTCGTGTTTCATTTAATAAGATTGGATCTCGGAGAAATTTTAATGTTTATTATTTTAAGAATAGAATGTTAATGGAGAAACATTTGCCAAATGTTATAAGGTAAGGTAGAAAAATTAATTTCTGTTATGAAGTAAGGTTCTGTAAGATTAGGTCAGCAGAGGAACTGTTTCGCCTTGCGCTTGACAGAACCAAATATTCCAAGTTAGCGGCCAACCTTCAAGACTGAAGAGGCACAAGAAGAAGAAGTTAAGGCTAAAATCAAGATAAGTAGAAGATAATACGAGTAAGTCAGTAGACGTTGTTAAGGTAAAAGCCTTCTTTGATTTCCTTTGAAATATCGTCATAATGATCTCTTTGTGACGTAAATTTGTTTTACGAAATAATGGAACACGTAATAAATAAGATGGCAATCTATATTCATTTAAAAAGGATTCCCATTCCGTAAATCTACACACTTGGATTGTTCACAGAGTTTCGTGTGGGAGTTAATTTAAATGTTGAATACATTTACTTCCAATTTATCTTCTGAAACGTATACAAATATATTGGTGTATAGAAATTAACTCGCCGTATTAAGAGCGTCGGTGGCTCAGTGAGTTAAGCACTTGACTTGCCATCGGTACGTCCTGGATTCAAATCCCGTCATAGACCAATGTGTTTTTGGTTTTACATTGTGCAGTTATTCCATCGTTCTTACGGTGAAGAAAAACATCGTGATGCAACCTGCACATATTTGAGAAGAAATTCTAATATATGTGTTAAGTCAACTGTGCTGGACCAGCGTGGAGCTATAGCCTATTCACCTTTGATTTAGAGTAGGCTACGAGAGACTCTTGCTTACAAATTGTTCCTAACTTATGCAGATTAGACTGTATAGAATTTTTTTCCTGATGTTGATAATTCCGTTTCCTGCGGCTGCATTTTTCGTTAGAAAAGTGGTAAAGGTTTGGTTTGTTAAATAAAACAGCATCATGAAAAAATTTACATATATTTTAACATAGCACTTATAAAGGCAGTGTCTATTTCGTTATTATTTTTAAAATTTATTTTTTAATATTTTTAATATTAATTTCCTAAATAATATTTTTTATTTTACTTCAAACTGAATAAATATATGAGCTATTGCTAATATATATTAGTATATAAAAATCCGCTTTGAAATGATATAGGAACATGCAATAACTTTATAAATCTGTATTTAATATACATAAATGCATTATTTACTTGACGCATCAAATGCTTCGAAACTAATTTAAATTTAGACAAAACTTTCGTTACTTTTAAAGTCGTATACAAATATATTTTTACTCTCTTTGTCTTGTGATGGCACACATACGAACCTGTTCCTTACTTCATTCGTATCAATTAAGTCTAGAGTAACAGAATACACGCTATTTGTTTTAACATCTAAATTTAATATCTGTATTTGTTTGTTGGCAGCACTATCAATTGTTTCTTCTAATTCATTGTTAAGATTATTCTCATGTACATCGACTTTAACATCTCTACCATTCTCAACAATTCCATTAACAGTTGTTATAAATTTAAGACTATTACGTTTTTTATCTTCAAATTTTATTATATCACCTAAATTATCGTTCAGTTCATTCATAGCTGATATCATCGTCATACTGTTCCGTCTTGTGTTTTCAACATTGATTATTTCACCGATTTTAACTTGTTGTACTTTTGTATCGAATATTTCTTTAACTTCTTTTGTTTTTGTACTACTCCTGTTTAAAAAGTACTTTTGTGACGATGCTCTGTTACTGTATCTCCTCCAAAAAGACTCTGATGTGTTCTGACTACTGGAAAACCCAGTCGATGTGGTCGTATTGAACGTATCCCTTCTTTGCATATTCTCTCTTAAATTTCTACCACATCTCATCAGTTTATTTATTTTTAATAATTTTACAAAACCATCTCTAAATTTAGATGACATTAAATTATATAATATTGGATTTATAGCCGAGTTTAAATACAGCATAACTCTACAAAAATATAAAAGTATATAATACCCGTCTATTCCTAATGACATTATTGTCTCCGGTGGGAATACGATGATCCATAATGTTAGAGCTTTGAATGGTAATAGACAAACAAAGAACGATAGTACTACTGTACCTAACATTAGAATGACTTGTTTCCTATAACGTAATACATTGCCGGCATTGTTAGAGTTCTTGCTGTGTTGGGCGATGATGACGGGGTTTTCCATGAGGTTTTTGGCGATAACGCTGTAGAGTACGAGTAGAACTCCAAGTGGAATGATGAAGAAGATGGCGATAATAAGAATGAAGAACAAAGCTGACCAGAAGGTGTCAGCTTGCGTGAGGCAGACGGGTACTTCGGTCCCATCGTCGTATTTCTCGTAGGTGAATGTGGCGACGCCTAGTATGGGACTGGAAAATAGAAAAAACAGAATTAAGAACACAGAAGTATAAAGAAGAGAATGTCGAAGTACCGTGTACCAATATTGCAAATAAACTTTATGATAATACCCATAAATAAATTAGTAATAAAGAAATAGTGAAATTTATACCCTTAAAGGTTTTATGTTTAATTTTTAAATTAGTGATTGTAATAAACGATTCATAAAGTAATTTAAAGTAGGAGTAGCATCTCTTGACATTGAAAACGGTTAGCTTCACCAAAAGTTTGAAACAAGATAGAGAGTTAAAGACAAACGTAACTAGATAAATTGTTTTACGGTCGAACGAAATTATATTTGCCCAGTAAAATACTTTAAGATAATAAATTTTTCTATATTAATAGAAATGTAGTCAACATACTATACGTATTTCGTAGTACCTGCATGTAACAGATAACAAGGGGAGATTTTTATTTTTGTATGTTTGTGACTAATAAACTAAAAAACTATTGAACTGATTTCAAATTTTATTTTACCCTCCGAAGGCTACAGTATCCCTCACTAACATAGGCTATATTCAATTATGTTTCTAAATATGGTACACCCGGATAAAGACAAACTGGACCGTAGTAATCTTACTAATATTTTAAGTGCGAATGATGGATGTCTGTTTGAAGATATCTTTGGAATGGCTGAACGGATCTTGATGAAATTTTGCACAGATGTAGAACATAGTTCGGAAGAACACATAAACTACTCATTAAGTTTTTTTTATTCCGAGCAGACGGAATCGCGGGCAGTACCTAGTATCAAATATAATTGAAAAATAAGCCCATCCATTTTGTGTTAGCTTTCAAAAGATTTAAGTAAGAATAAGAAAGTGACAAAGCGCTGGTTCATTTCTCGTGTTCCAACAATGGATCTCGGCTTTCACGACCCAGATCCTTTTGTAAATAATGGAAGTCGAACACCGGTTATTGCGACGACTTTTGGCAATTTTCCACGTTTGAAGGTACAATTTGATATACGATAAATCTGAATAAAATAGCTTTTAATTATAAAAATAGTAATACTAGGTAACCAGCAAGAAAAGGTATTAAATCTTAGTTCTACTATATAATAATGTCGTATAGGGGTACTGACGTTTGAAACTATGATTTAGTATAAATTAATTAGGAGCGACTGATTTCGTATGATTGTCAGGTGACGGCACCGACTAGTTTTTTTTATAGAAGGGGGCAAACGAATCGCCTAAATTCGGATCCGTTGGAGGTCCATCTTCAAAGCGTATTTATTTTTAGGGTTTTTCGCATTACTACAACACTAGTCGGTGCCAGAAACTAGTCGGTGCCGTCACCAGATGATCATACGTGAGTTAAACAGTTCCTAATTAATTTAATATTATATGTATCACGAAACATTTAAATAATTTAGCATTAAAAATGTAAAATTGGGACTGTTTTTTTATTTATATGTCAAGTAATATTATGTTTGTTATTTTTAAAATTTGATGTTTAAATGTGATGTCTTAATTGATGAAAGGGATTATGTAATAAAAGTCTATATACCTAACAGATTAAATATTTATCTATATATTTTGATAATAATTTAGGCCATAACGTACATAATATAAAATATAATAAATTCTTACATTATTAGGAAATTGCGAGCTCATAAAACTATTTATGGTTTTTAATAATATTTTTTTTTAATATAAATAATTTATTAAATGTAAATTTGAATAAATATATTTATTACCGTATTGTCCTAAAACTAAACTAATGGATTACACTCGTATAAATGTTTCACTATTAATAAAAATACTTTTGGAAGCAAAATATCTTAACACGTTGAGCGCCATCGGTTGCTGACACTAGCCTTTCCGTTTAGGCCGCGTCAGCCATCGGTGGCTGACACTAGCCTTTCGTTTAGGCCGCGTCAGCCATCGGTGGCTGACACTAGACTTTCCGTTTAGGCCGCGTCAGCCATCGGTGGCTGACACTAGATTTTCTGTTTAGGATGTTTAACGCTCAGTGACATTTGAACTATAATGAACTGATTTGTCGCAAAAAGAATAACGGCCACGAATCCATTTCGAAGAAATTTTATCTGAGCGGGCTAAGCGGTAAGAAAAACAAAACAGACATGGCGCGTAACGTGTTGAAACAAATCCTATAGGTATAACGTTAAAAATGTAAACTATTTTGTACTGCGATCGGAACCACCGCCCTTAAATACCAGTGCGTATAAGCGGCGTTCGTGGCCTGAACGGGATTGTCTTTGAAATACGCATGGCGCTCAACGTGTTAATTAAAAGTCAAAGCAATTTATATTTACAAATTTAAAAATATATCTACAATATTCTAAATAAATAAGCAAAATATGGCACTAGAATAACAATTATTAAAGAAATTACTACTATGATATATAAAAACGGCTAAACACTCTCGTATATTCGTCCGGTGGCGGCACCGACTAGTTTCGACCCCATCGGGGGCCCTTCATCAGGACGAGCGGTACTGGTATTATTTCACGGACGCGGCCCGTCGCTCAGTGAGTCTCTAGTCGGTGCCGCCACCGGACGAATACACGTGAGAGTTTAGCCGTGTTTATATATCAATTTAGTATAATGTCTCACGAAAGTTTGAATAAATAAATTACTAATGTACTAAATACAGAGAAATATCTGAACATATCCATAAGACAAATGTTGACCTTTAAAACAAAATAAATGAATGATAACAGTTTTATGAGCAAGCTACAAACAAATATATCTGAACATACATCAGACAAAACTCTCGGGGAAGTCGTAATCGACACTCCTCGACTTCTGAAACCCGACAACACATTCGACTCTTATCTTTTGGTATGTAACGAACTTTTTACTGTCACCTTCAAAACTTTTTCCCTTAGCGCTGTTTATTAAAACGCTACGCCTCAAGGATCCTTGGGAACGATTTGATGAATCCAGTTCTATATCTGTCCTATTTTTAGCACTAACATTGGAATGACCAATAAATTTTGGCGCGACATCTTTCTGATAGGCGCGACTTATTTTACGATCGACCTCAAACGCGTCCACTTCGAGCATATTCCCTTCGCTTCTCATTCTACTTATCTTATTCACTTTAGGACTCGGACAAATTGGGGCCGATTGCTGTCGAATGAATCGTTTACTTGTAAACATCCTATAGAAGCCATGTTTTCTTTCGTTATTATCTTTGCTTTCAGATTCATCACTCTTTTCTATACTGCTTCTATGACTGAAGAATTTCTTTAAACTGTTCGTAGTTCTTGATAAACTGCTACTAGTTGTTGAGCCATTAGTTGCTGTTCTTTGTACACGTCTATTCTGTGTTTCAGAGAAATGTTTATGACAAATGCATATCTTGCAAAAACCAATTCTGAATTTCGATGACATTAAATTATAAAGTATCGGATTTATAGCTGAATTAATATATAACATTATTCTTGAGAAATAAAGTAAATTGTACCATTTTTCTGGACTTACAGTATCTGATAACTCTGATGGTGTTACTATAATCCACATAATAAGAACTCTGTACGGCATAAGACATAAAAAAAAGCATAATACCACAGTTCCCAACATTAATATGACTTGCTTTCTAGCTCTTGTATTATAAGGGTCAACAGTTTTATTTAATACAACTTTAGATGCTGCTGTTATAAGATTTTTAGCAATAATACTGTATAGAACAATAAGTATTAACAGTGGGAGTACATAGAGCAGTATTATGACCATAATGAAGAATGTAATTTGCCAGTAGGTAACAGCTTGTGTGAGGCATTGCGAGGAGACTGTGCCATCTTGCCGTGTCACTGTGTGATGCTCAGCAATCGCCAGGATTGGACTGTAATAGAAGAAAAAGCAAAAGGTACAATTTCTACGTGCTAAAATAAAAACATCTAAAACTACAAGGAAGAAATGCATAACAGTAGAAATTTAAAATAAAGTAAAACGTAAATTCCTCTTTATTTTAAAATCGGACCAATCAGACCTTTATTTAAAATTAAAATCCCAAGGCTTGTTTATAAAATGTCACAATCTCTTAGTTCAAGTAATTGATTTCATAATAATTTATTAGGTCTGTGTATTACTCCCTTAAATATCAGAATTCTACCTTAATTTTTGAATAATAAAATAGATATTTAAATTTGTATATGCATTTCTTCCTTTAATTCTATTGACTAATTTCGCAAAGAAATTATTTAGAAAGAGAACATAAAATAGAAAATAGAATATCTAAAGGATGCTAAAAGATAATGAAGATTTAGAAGAGAATTTATTTACACATATACAGGGTGTGTTGAAAGAGAATCGTGCGACAGATAAAGTCCTAAAGTTTTATTTAAAATTAACAATTTACTTACGAATTAAAATAATAACACAAATACCGTTAAAATAAATAATAAAATAAAATATATTTTGTTTTTAAATAATCGTCGAGAATTTGTGAGTTTTACACAATTTTTGGAGGTATTTTAGTCTTATAGTAGTTAGCGGACCCGACAGACGTTGTCCTGTCTACACATCTTTAATTTGAATAAATTAATATGAAGTTAATATTTGATGAAAATTGTGAATCTAAACCATTCCCAGATTCCCTTGAACACACACAAAAAATTTCATCAAAATCGGTCCAGTCGTTTGAGAGAAGTTCAGTGACATACACACTCACAGAAAAATTATATATATAAAGATACAAATTAAATAACATTTAAAGCGAAGTATAAATATTATAGCTGTTATATAAAAGTATATATGTACGAACCTTGTCTCATAAAGGGTTACGTTCAGTAGAATTTATTTAGTAAAGCACTTTTATAATATTATTAATGTATATTTATCAGTTTTTTTTAACGTAAAATTTAAAAAAATTATAAAATATATTTTCACATTTAATTAATTAAGGAATGTATAAACAGATTTATCGTTGATTTCTGAGACCAATATCTTTGTATAATACATATCGGTATCTCTGTCATTATCTTTGAAAAAAACAGATATAACAATATATTTTATACTGAGTTTTAGTATCAGAAACTCACAGTTAACCTTTTTGGTACGAACGTAAACTAGTATGTTCTAAAATGTATAAAAAAAAATAATTAAGTGAAATTAGATTTGTAGAAAAAATAAAGTCATTATCTTTGACAAAACAAAGATAAAAATATATTTTAAAGGTGGATTTCGGTCTCAGAAACCCACTTTCAGTCTAATAAAGCACATAAGTTTAATTAACAGACCTAAATGTAGTCTGCATATCACAAAATATTCACCAACAATGTAGAACTTGGAAAGAAAAATGTGCATACTTTGTAACCAAGGACAAACATGTGTACAAAGGAATTTAATAAAAATTCATCCTCTATCTATTCCGGAGCTATTGCGTTTATAAGGACGTATAGAGAAAACAATATGGCCGACTCAACGGACATGTTGGCTCTGAAACCATATATTACTTAACTAGAACAACGCTTCAATATATTTACAAGACTTTGAAATTATTTTACAATAGCAAAGTAACAAAAGAACTACGTAACTCACAATATTAGTTTACTTTATGAAAAATTTTATTTCCTTCCCCTATGTATGTCCTGAGAAGTAATTCAAAGATATGTGTGAAGTCAACCTGCACTTGGCCAGCGTGGTTGACTATGGCCTAATCACTCTTAACTTAGGGTAGGCTCCGAGCCCCTCGGTTGGGAATAGTAGGTAAGTAGGTATAGTGAGATGATGATGTTACAAAAATTTGTTTTTTTTTAACTAAAAAAATCCTGACAGCTCCTAACCAGTAGTTTGTCATATGCAGTCTTTAACTCTTATTGTGGCAAGATTGTTTTTGAAAGAAAAGCAAAAAATACGCAAAAGCAATAATAAGTTTAATAAAACTAAGTTAAAAATTAATTTATAGCGATCGTATGTTTTTATAGAGTTGTATGGTATACTATACAAAATGAACATAAGAGTTAAATAGGAACTAAGGACGTATTTACACTAAGGCACTGGTTAACAAACCATTAAAGAGTGCGACAAGAAGATCTTTCCAGTAAAACAACAAACAATCTTTGAAATACGCGATAGTGGAAACAGTACATATAAGCCGTATTGGCCAGTTGCTTAGTGGAAAAGTGTTTTAAGAAGTTATCGTATATTTTATATGTTTATATTAGCGTTGTACTTATATTTATTTGCGGCAACATTCGGCAGTAACTTTGTCTAACGATACCAATCAAATTTATAGCGCGATTCGCAGATCCGGTGAACCGTATGAAACGATTGTTGGCCCATTTTTGTGGATAATTCGTTTTATTGGCAATTCGTTGGCTAAACAAGGGCGTGCTTGGTTCAGAGCCAAGTGTTGATTTCTCTGGCTAAGTAAATAGACAGTGATTGAACCTAAACGATCTGAGATGGAACAATAATTCGTAACTACTCGTATTTTTTGACATTAACACGTTCTCTGCCAACGCAGTCAGTGCTGACCGTCAGTAAAATTTCCCTTTAGGCCTAATCAAATTTTAAATCTATATAAAATTACTAAATTGTTTTTATGTTCTTGCTTATATGCTTTTATCTTTAATTTCTTTATATTGTAATTGTTGTTTTTCTTTCAAAGTTCTTAAAATACTATATACCAACTTATGGAGAAACTAGTGGTCCACGCGGGTTAATTAATATGCGATTTAGTTTGAGAGCACCGCCCAACGGCATGTAAGAACGAAATGAAAACTCTTGTAAAATACGTAAAACAAACTGACACTGCTTGAACTGAAAATCTATATACCAACCATCACTGACCGACACGACCTGGACAGGAAACTGCGATTTTTTTCTCGGCACACTTCTTAAAAGAAGTTTGCACAAGTTATGTCTATGGTTCGATAACCATAGTCATTCGCAGTAAGTTAGATGGTTCCGTTGCCTACTTTCAATTACCAAAGGATGCACGAAAAAGATTATTTCTCTTTCATAAACATACTATATTCATGGCATTCATTCAAACAAATATCCATCCATCTAAACATTCGCATTTATAATATTAGTAAGATACATAGTAGGGAGTAAGATATATTTAAAAAAAATGTCTTATCTGTTTAACAGATAGATGGAGGTCGATCTCACACGGTCTCTTATATAATCATCATCATCAGCTCACTATACGTCTCCACCGAGGGGCTCGGAGCCTACCCTAAGTTAAGGGTGATTAGGCCATAGTCAATCACGCTGGCCAAGTGCGGGTTGGTTGACTTCACACATGTCTTTGAATTACTTCTCAGACATGTGCAGGTTGCATCACGATGTTTTCCTTCACCGTAAGAACGTCGGATAAATGTACATATGTAAATCGGAAATCGAAAAACAAATTGGTACATGGCGGGATTTGAACCCAGGACCTACAGATTGCAAGTCAAGTGCTTGACCACTGAGCCACCGACGCTTATATAATAATATTATAGAAATATTTTAAAATAACAAAACATTTAAATGTTTTAGAGTTCCCTTTCAATAATAAACTAAGAAATGTCATTGGATGGAAGCTATAAGAATCTAATATAGCTAGAGAAAATCACTCTACTTTCCTCCTATTGCAAATGGTATCCGTCCATCTTTATAATACAGTCTTTTTGATTCAATTGTCAAGAGTTTATTGAAAGCCGTAAGAGCTCTCGATGGAATTTATTGAAAATTCGATTGATTTTGTTAGTTATTTTCAGATCGTGATAAAATTATTTGCACACGGAAATGTTTTATCTTTCATTTCGATTTGATAACAAAAAATAGTGGATTTGTGAAAACTTTTTCATTTTATTTTTATTCTATTAAAAATAAATAGTAAATATAGATCTTAGTTTTTTTTTATACCATAAGATGGCAAACGAGGGAGCGGCCACCTGAAATCGCTGAAATAGCGAAGTGACTGTTGCCCATAGACATACGCAATTGCATATGTGTTGCCTACCTCTAATCGACGTAGGAGAGGATGCACAGAAAGAAAATATTTTCACTTTCCATGCATCGTCTCATCCGGAAAGTCCACTTCTACTTCCCATCCTTTCCTAATAAGGGTGGGAAGGGAAAGAGGACTAGTTTTACTAATAATATAAATGCGAATGTTTGAATGTTTGGACGGATGCATGGATGTTTGTTACGACTGTTAAGAAGAAAATCTGAGAATGTGACAGTGTATTGACCCAACACTAGCCTTACTAAAATGTCGTCTGTGTCCCCTCACTAATCATTCTGACACTAGACTTTGTAACGAAAGCACGTCATTCGCGCCAAAGGATTCTAACCAATAATGTCTAGAACGATGTATCTCCAGAACTGCTCAACGTTTCTTGATGAAATTTGGCACAAATATAAAGCATAGTCTGGAAGAATAAATAAGCTACTAATTAAGTTTTTTATTATTCTGTACAGATGGAGTGGCGGGCGAAAGCTAATCTATATATAAAAGAAAGTCGTGTTAGTTACACTATTTATAACTCAAGAACGGCTTTACCGATATGTCTGAAAATTGGTGAGGAAGTAGAGCCAGGAGACGGACATAGGATACTATTTATTCATTTTTTTTCGAATTTATGCCTTGAGAAACTGCTTTTTATTTAACTTATCTATATATAAAGTTTTTTTTAATATATCCACGCGGATAGAGTCGCGGGCGACAGCTAGTAATTCTTTTAGTTAATGGATACCTTAATAGGAATTTTTAACCCGATATAAAATATTCAAAGATATAATTTAATTTCATTTATAACACAAATATAAAGTACATATATTAATATTTAATATATAATATTAATATAATAATATAAATATATATTTTTTACAACTCGAAAACTTTGAATATAAATTATAAAACGTTCATGTTCGCAATCCACAAGAAAACATAACAGCAAAATTTGCTAAAGAATTGTTGCCAATAAATTCAACTGATTATCTTATGATTACACATCGCTATTTCAACTAACACCATAAATGTCAAAGGATAATGATCACAATACTCTAAGCCATAAAGTTTATAATAGAATAGAAGTTTCACTTTATTTTTGAGAGCGTCTCACAAAGACTTGGATTATTTTATTTGTGGAAAATGAAGATGAAAATAATTTATTGAAATTGTTAGGAATAAATTACACCTAATTCTTACACGAGTTTGATAATAAGTATATTTTTAATACATAGAAAATATTACGAAATTTTTTAGAGAAATTGTTGAACAAATTAAAAGAAAATAATACTATTAGCTGTAATCACTATGAATATTTTGACGTCAGATTATGACGTGTATACTATGACGTCATCACATTAAGGTAATATGTTATTGCGTTCGCATATTCTATACGTCTTCGTAAGCAGCTTATTGCTTACACATCAGCTATGAAGTACAAATAAATAACTTAGCAAACTTTCCCAAAGTCTAACTTAGTTGTTAAGTTAGCTTACAAAGTTTCCCTTACAAATTCAACTCTACAAGAATTCCCCCTAATTCCGTCGTGAAAATTTATTGACTACAAATGGGAATTGTTTGCTTATTTAGGCAATGGTTAGTTGCACTTGTTTTAGTATTATTAAAAAATGCACTCTTTTATTCTATTTTTTATTAATTCCTAATCGATTTAAGTATTTTATATATTAATTGAGAAAAGAAGAAGATAAATTGAGAGACCGTCGGTAGCTCAGGGGTTGACGCTTGACTTGTAATCTGCAGGTCCTGGGTTCGATTCCCATCAGGTACTAATGTGTCTTTTCGATTTCCGATTTACACGTGCACATTAATTCGATGTTCTTACGGCGAAGGAAAATATCGTGATGCAACAGTCACATATCTGCGAAGAATGTGTGAAGTCAACCAACCCGCACTGGGCCAGCGTGGTTGACTATGGCCTAGTCACCCCTAACTTAGGATAGGCTCCGACCCTTAGTGAGGACTTATAGAGAGCTAATGATGAATAGCTTAAAATAAGATTTAGTAACAAGCTTAGCGAGCACTCGACAGATGAATATAATTGGAATAAAGGTTTAAAAAAATCAGGCATAATTTCAAATACAAACTGACAAGTGAAACGTTAATTACTTTAAGGAATGTTTAATGCAAGCAAATATCTTAGAAAAAGCTATATTAAATTCGACATGTATATAATAATGTAAAATGCAAAAATGTTCAATGGTTGGGTCAGCCAAATATTAATAATAAAATAAATGGTTACATACGTATAAAAATATTAGCAGACTTTTGTTAATTTACTAATATTTCTTGTACCATTCCTACTAGGTTCTATGCTTGTGTTAGGACATGGTTTACAATAGTCGAATGGCGGGATTCGAACTCTTGACTACGCGATCAGAAATCCGTACCCTTAACCATTAGGCTATTGTTTGTTGCAAGTCATATAATTTATTTAATAATACAACACATGGAACTACATATTAAAAAGAACTTCTTAACCACAATTTTCTAATTAAATACTATACTAATAAATAAAATAATAAAGATCATATACCTGGTGAAGAGAGCAGCGAAGAACCAAGCTAACGCACAAATGAGAGTGGCTCTAGTTTTCGTGCAAACGTAACCGGCTCGAAGTGGCTCACAGATGGCGTAGTATCTCTCAAAGCTGATTGCAAGGATCGTCAACACTGATGCATGGGCGACTGTCAACTCCACGAATGGTACTGCCAGACCTGAAGGAAAAAAATAGAAAATTCACGATTTTAGTAAAAGAAAAAAGAACGTCGGTGGCACTGTTATGTGCCATTTTGATTTTTGAGTTACATAAGTACATTTATTCGACGTTCTTTCGATGAAGATCGTAATAAGAAATTTAAAGATATGTCTGAAAACCAGCACTGGGCCAGCGTGGTTGACTATGACCTAGTCTCCTCTAACTTAGGGTAGGCACCTCAGTGGGGCTGTGTAGTGATGATGATACTTAATTGAGAATTGAATAAAGCAATAATTTCTATTGTCATTCAATAATCAAAATTAAACGCAAAACGCTTTGTGTCCCAATTAATTATACAGCTATTGATAGACGATTAATTTACATTGAAATTACTTGTACATACATTGTTAATACATGTTAGTAATTGAATTATTTGACAAGTCGTACGCGTTGGCTTTTCATAGAGTTAATTGAATTTACTCCTATAAACATGAAGATATACCTACCATGTTATATACAACAGAACTAAAATTAGTTACAATAATATCGGAGAGGCCAGCAACATTTTGTCGTAATCACACTATGTTAGCATGTTTTTTTTTCGCATTTTTTACACACAAATATCATATAAAAAAAACAAAATCACGAGTGACAGGCTGTAATAGATGAATTAGCGCCATCTAGTCTGTTCCAAAACAAACTTACATACGCGTCAAATACATTACCCACTGTCAGTCGGTAATTCTTCTTTTTATTTATAAAACAGCCAGTATTAAAATGAAAAGTTTTTATAAAAACAACTAAAAGCCTGGCTGAAACAAAACAGTGTACCAAACGCCGCAAGATGTTTTCGCCTTTCGGACAAAATAATTGACAGCCTTTCTATCTCAACGCCATAAATCAGTTGGCAAAAAACTGTCTATTTCGTGGAAAAAAAATATAGTTCGACATTAGATAAATAGTAATACGGGCACAATTTATTGTTAAGATAAATCGAAGGTTGTTTAAATTTATCTATAGTATTCAGGTGAAAGTTTTTGACCTTTTTACTACATAAGCTATACGGGAAAACGACAAAAACCTCCATAAAAATGTTAGTTTAGAATCTTAATGCCACATTCACATTATTCCAGTCCAGCGAACAAATTCAGCTCTAGTATATTACTAGAATACCAACACTAAAAACACAGTGTTTTACTGTGAATGTTTACTTTTAAAAGTTGTAATCCAGTGTCTTATTGCTGTACTGGAATGATGAAAAGTAAGTGGATAAAGACATATCAAACTTTATTACTTTGTTTGTTTCAACAAGTGACGTCGAGAGTAACACAACAATGTCGTGACTAAAAGCTGTATAGCTTTGATGTACATTGAAATTGTTAAGACAATTGTTAGGACACATATTATTTCCTATGTTTATTGAAACAATTGGCTGAAAGCCTACGTTAATCTATATAACAAATATGAGTTAGTTATGTTGTGAACCATTTGCTATTAATTAAAAAAAGATTTTGTTTATTTCTTACTTTTTAGACATTATTAGTTATTATAGAATCCTTTGGCGCGAATGGCGCGCTTTCATTACAAAGTCAAATGTCAAAATGATTAGTGAGGGGACATAAACGTCGACATTTGAGTAAGGATAGAGTTGTGCCAGTACAGCACTGTGTCGGATTTACTTTCTAACACTTTTAATTTAGTAGATTATTTTACAATTAATCATGTGATGTAACCATTTTAATAACGCTCTAGACTAACTCCAGGATATGGATTAAGACAAAAATCAAATTGGGAGATCCGAACATACGACGAATAGTTGTATATCCTTATCCATTAAACTGACTTCTGAAAACACTTATGTTAAGGAGATATAAAATTATTTCTCTTTATCCTAAAGCAAGCGAAAAAATTATCTTTTTTTAATCGTAAAATATTATAAATCCAGACGACTTTGATTACAAGAACACTAAGGATACTTCATAATATAAAAGATCAAAATTCAAATTATGATCATCAAATGTGCATTCGCAGAAAGTTTCTTATAAACTCAACAATCGAAATTTAAGTATACTAAAATTTATAACTACAATACATTCAAAATACTTCCTTATTTTTTACGTAATAAAGTATAAAATCTAAAAACAGAAACAAAACATTTAAAAGTATTGTACAGTCGTGTGGAAGAATTCACCGAACGTTTACTTTATTATACTTAATTAGGACGAGCTGTGGTTCCGAGTGCAGTTTTATTATCGAAACTCGTTTAAAGGAATTTGAACTTTATTGTATTAGAATAAAGTCGTTGTCGAATGTAAATGTTTTGGTATTGGCGTAGGTCGTTTAATACAGCCAACATGTGCCACCAATGGACACTAAAGGCTGGGGTACACTGCTAGAGATAATTGCAAAACGGATTCGTTAGGATGAAAGTTGAAATTGCAATTTTTTTAAATTAAAATCAGTAAATCTTTTAAAATCTGAATAGATTAAAAAATCTAGCCTAAAATGAGCGTTTTAAGATAATAATATTTCTTATTTCTAAACTATTGTCATAATGATTTTTAAAGCTCTAAATGTTGAATATTTTAATTATGGATTTATTACATTTAATAGCTTTTGTACGTAACTTAGTCCGGAATACAAAAAAAACTGGATGTACAATACTATGTGTTACTAGTTGCGCGCGACTGTCCACGCCGAATTAAAAGAAAACTTAATTTGTAACCTATGTGTTCTTTTAGACTATGTTCTACATCTATACCAAATTTAATCGAGATTCGTTGATCCGTTCTGGAGAGACCTTTTAACAAACATCCATCATCATCATCATCATCAGCTCACTATACGTCTCCACCGAAGGACTCGGAGCCTACCCTAAGTTAAGGGAGATTAAGCCATAGTCAACCACGCTGGCATAGTGCGGGTTGGTTGACTTCACACATATCTTTAAATTTCTTCTCAGATATGTTCAGGTTAGGTTGCATAATGATGTTTTCCTTCAAACATCCATCAATCCATGTAATCTTTCGCATTTATATTAGTAAGATTTGTGACTATGTTTATTTATATTCTACCAAAATTACTGAGACTGTTTATTCCTAACAATGTCTACATCGCCCGTATTCGCGACCGACCCACATTCTAGTATGTCATCCAAGCTCGTTAGTTTACTGCCAAAATAATTGATATCTAAAACGCCAGATGTTTCGTGCACTAAAGCTGTCTACTGTTAATGTATTGCACCAACTAAAATTCAAAATCATTCTTGCCAAAAATATTCGCAAATCTTCTTACTAATGAATGCGAATGTTTAGATGGATGGATGATTTTTTTGAAGATATCTCCAGACCGGCTGCATGGATCTCGCTGAAATTTGGCATAGATGTAGAACACATAATCTACTTACGGTTCTTTTTTAGCCGACTTCAAAAAGAAGGAGGTTATCAATACGTCTGTATGTTTTTTTTTAAATTCTAATAGCCTCGGACGACAGCTATACCTATACAATAAAATTAAAATTAAATGTTAATTTGTACACATCGCGCCAAAGCTCAAATAGAAAAGAGTTTTTGAGTAAAGTGTACCAGAAAACTGTTCACATTATTGTATAGTAGAAATCTCTCTTTTCTCACATTAGGAAGGTGGCAAACGAGAAAGTAGACACCTTAATTCGCCAAAATAGCGAAATTACCTGTGTGTGTACCTTAGGGTAAGGCCATGTTTAATCAAATCAGTTTAATTATTTTTGTTCATTAACGGTATTTGCTTTTAAGTATACGATAGTAATATTAATAAATGGATTCATTCCATTTTTAATTATTAAAACTTACAATATAAAATTTTAAAAGTATTCATAATGTTAATTGAGAAAAATTTTAATGTAAAATTCGAATGTGCATCGTAAAGTTTGTGACATACTGTAACGATATTTTCAATATCAAACCTTTCAGATTTCATTGAACGGACAATTTAGTCGAACGATTTTGATCTTTTATGAACATCATTTTACAAACGAATGTTATGACGAAGCGAAATTTTCAAATAAATATTGAGTGGTCAGATATTTAAGATTATTAAGGCTGTGTTTTATTCATCTATATATAAAAGAAAGTCGTGTTAGTTACACTATTTATAACTCAAGAACGGCTTTACCGATATACATGAAAATTGGTGAGGAGGTAGCTTAGAACCAGGAGACGCACATAGGATACTATTTATTCATTTTTTTTCGAATTTATGCTTTGAAGAGCTGCTTTTTATTTAACTTATCTATATATTAAGTTTTTTTATATATCCACGCGGACGGCGTCACGGGCGACAGCTAGTATGCAATAAATTGGAAGGTTACAAATAGGCAACGAATTTGAAACCATTAAAGCATCAAGGATATGTAAATAACCTTATCCTAAAATCATTTTTCTTCACATCCTCTTCCCCAGCTAATCCCTTCCCTTTCCCATTATTTTACTTATTAAGAAAGAAGGAAGGGTAGAGTAGAGTCTTTTGGCACGCACACTCATCAGACTGTACGTGGAATTGCTTCCACTTGACGCCTGTCTTCTGTGTGATCGTGGTATTGTACCGGTCGAGCTGACAATGTCAAAGAGTATCTGCATTTAATTGAGATCAAAAATTACCGTTTTATTTGGTATATAAAAGCCTAATGACTAGTGAGAAGGCGGTCGAATTGGTTCATGAATATTCATGTTTTTAAATTATAATAGCAGTGTTGCTGTGGGTTGTGTTATTGTCTCTGTTCTCACTGAATTGCGACTTAATGGGCCGTAATGTGCGAGACGCAGCGGACTGAGAATGTCGGCCGAGCAATTCATTCAGCAGTTTCGGCGGACAACTGTTTATAAATTTGCTGTTTGGCATTTCAATACGTATCAAATTAAGAATGTCAAATTGCATGTAAGACTTTAGTTAATTTATTTCAATAACTCTTTGTGACGACTACGACTTTGAGCTACCTAGTTCTCACAAGACTTAAGTAGGCAGGACGAGGTAGGGCGACCGCCCAGGGCCCGGCCTAAAGGTAGCACAGCAGACTCATCTATATATCCGATTCTGGCGCTTGCGGTGTCCCTTAAGATCGCAAAAATGTCGTCCTAGGCGCCGGAAATTCTAATACCGGCCCTGAGTTCACAGAATTGTTGGAGAACCAAAACCTAATAAAGTATAGAGGTAAAGCGTCAGGTCTATATTCTTATTTATATCTATGTATTTTCAGGCTTAATAGTTAGACCCACCCGGCGCTAATGACGTGCCTTCGTTACAAAGTCCAGTGTCAGAATGAATAGTGAGGGGACATAAACGTCGACATTTTAGTAAGACTAGTGTTGAGTCAATACATTGACTCATTTCCGGATTTTCTTCCTAACAGTTTATTCTAAACAGAAAAGACGCACTGTCTACCTTCAAACGACAAAGCTATGTACATTAAAATTGACTTATAATAATAAAATTCAATGTAATACTCACATAATTCCTTCCCAAGCACCCAAGTCTCAGGCTTAGAGTTGACTTCCACAAGGACTGTTGGTGTGCAGACTAACAGTACCATTAGATCTGCTATGCTCAAGTTCACAAGAAATATATTAGTTGAGTTTCTCATGTCTTTTGTCTTTAATATTACTATCGGCACCATAACATTACCAATCACCCCCAAACACATAATTACAATACAAAATGTCATAGATGTCGCCTTTATGTAATATGGTATTTCAGCGTACTCCGTAAAATTCTCATTCGACATCTCGAATGATGTATTCGATTGTTCGAATGTCGTATTCGATATATCGATAGATAATTCCGATGTCTCGTTGTGTGTTTCATTTTTGTATGTATATACGTTAGGTATTCGATTGTCGTAGATTATTGATTGATTCGATGTGTGGGATAAGTTGGCTATTGAAATCATGTGCGATTTGCTTTTCGGGAGATCATGCGTTTAGTTTCACATCTTTGTTGGGGAAAGCACTTTTATCTTGCTTTGCCTTCGTTGACACGTTGGTTGATAACTTTTTATCGATCTGAAACAATGAACAAAATATTAATCACAGCAGTTAAATCTGTATTTTAAAAAATCGAAAAAATGGTCTCCGTTTGCGCGGAATTAAGAAAAACTTAATTAGTAGCCTATGTGTTCTTTCAGACTGTGTTCTACATCTATGCAAAATTTCATTACGATTTATGCAGCTGTTCTGACTTCAAACAAAAATCCATCTATCCATTCAACATTCGCATTTATAATATTAGTAAAAGTGCAAAAAAATATAATTTATTTTTATCGATATCCTAACATGTACATCACTAGTGAAGCACTCGTATTAGTTGCCATCTTACAGTAATATATTAAGCAGTGTTGTACAGATTTGTGTTATTTATGCGCAATCCAAACTTCAGCAGTTACAGCATGATGAGTGAATTTATAGTATCGATAAAGAACTTTACCGTATATTTTTATTCTCTTTGGCAAACGCAACGAAATACTTTTTGAGGAAGAAAACTCATCCGTTTGGGAAGTTTGTATCTATAAATTGATTTAATTTATGGATATACGTTTCCTATAGTCTATAGTAATATTTAACAACTAATACTTGCTGTATTAGGGTTTTAAATAAGTTAACAGTGAAATTTAACAGTGGTAAAGCCCGCTTTAACATCTCCGCACAAATTGGCCCGGCTCGCCCGGTGAAATACCACGACCACACAGAATACAGGCGTCAAGTGGAAGCAATTCCGCGTTTCGTCTGATGAGTGTGCGTCCCGGAGGCCTAATTTAGCCCTCTTTGTCTTCCCACCCTTTGTCTTATAAGGAAAGGATGGGAAGTGGAAGTGGACTTTTCGGATGAGAGGATGCATGGAAAGGGAAAATATTTTCTTTCTGTGCATCCTCTCCTCCGTCGATTAAAGGTAGGCAACGCATATGCAATTGCGTATGTCTATGGGCAACGGTCACTCCGCTATTTCAGCGATTTCAGGTAGCCCCTCGCTCGTTTACCATCTTATGATATAAAAAAATGAACTTTAGGTATGTCATTAGCCGATTGAAAAAAGTAGGAGGTTGTGTATCAGCTGGTCGCGGGGCCTTCGTAAGGAGTTCCTGAAATCTAGAGTAATTTCGAAAACTTTTTGTGTTATGGTCAGCCTCATCATCATTGTGTTGGAGTCACTAAATAATTACATGCTGAAGAGATTTGTATAAAAAGTTTATATAGAAAAAGACTGATAAACTCTGGTCTATGAAACTAATATTATAAATGCGAATGTTTAGATGGATGTTTGTTTGAATGTATCTCCAGAACAGCTGAACGAATCTTGAAGAAATTTAGCAGAGAATATAAAATATAGTCTGAAAGATTATTATCGATAATCAAATTAAACATAAACTTGGAAGAAAAATAACAAAAAGGAGGCGTTTGAGTAGTCTCAACTGAAAAGTATTATTCATATTTCATCATTTTATTAGTAATTCGTACTTAAATATAATTTCCAAAAAACACAATTAAAAAAAAATACCGAGCAAAGCTCCGTCATCCAGATACTAGTAATAAAAGAGTGTGATATAAGTTAAAAAGATATTACTTTCGACTTTAATACGTTTATCTGACGTCAAACGAATTGAAAAGGGTTTGAAAAGTTAATTTATTACTTTACATATTCACAGATGACTCTGGTTTAATTTAGGTCGGCGACGTTTTAATATAATGATAATAAAAAATAATAGACGGGTTTAAATTATAATATAAATAAATTAAACATACTAAAGCTCGTATAACGGTGAGATTTTTAAATGGTCACTAAGGGTGAGACTGAGTAAAGATTTATTATAAGAAATCTATACTTAGAAAGTGTCTAATTCTGTCTTATAAAAGTCTAAAGTAATTCACAACGTATCAAAAAAGAAGAGCTGAAACCTCGGAGAAAGAATTAGTATAGCTATTCAAAGGGGGAACGCTGCCAATATCTTCAGGACCTTGCTTAAAGGGAATTTTAATAATATATTTTAGTTAATTATTCGTTTTTAATATATTATTTAATCATCATCATCATCATCAGCTCGCTATACATCCCCACCGAGGGGCTCGGAGCCTACCCTAAGTTAAAAGTGATTAAGCCATATTATTTAATGCCATAGATTTAACACTTTTTTATATGTACAATATAACACAACTTTTTATACAAAACTATTATTGTTAAAAAACACAACTATGTTAAACTTTTTACATCAGGTGAATAAACTTGTCTAGTCTTTCCAAAAAGTAGCATAAATAATAAACTTTTGGAAACATCATCACTTGCCATGTTACAAACAAAATGACAACACTTCGAAAAGGCAAATATCTTATTTTAGTATTACTCGTGTAAGCCAATGTCTTGCAATGCCAACTTTCTGTCGTTTTCGTGTGAATTTGATCGACAGTTTAATGTAGTACATTCGCCCCCTAGCGGATAAAGTGACAAACTTTCGCGACAATAGAGACTTTGACAACCGGAATAGTATTCATCGAAGTTTTTGTATTCCAAAAAAGTTTTTTCCTATTTCTATGTAAAAACAATAAACTATACTTGTTATAATAAAGAAGAATTTGTATGTATGTATAAATATTGAGAGCTACATAAAATAACATAGAAATCTTATTCATCGTTATCACAATTTTAATTAGAAAATTATTCACCACTAGCTGTCGCCCCCAACTCCGTCCGCGCATAATTAAAATAAACATAATAAGTAGCCTATGTGTTCTTCCAGACTATGTTGTATGTATGTAAAATTTCTTTGTGATTCGTTTAGCCATTCTGGAGATGCCTTCAAACAAATATCCATCCATCCAAACTTTCGCATTTATAATATTAGTAAGATTATCAACTAACTATACGTCCCCACTGAGGGGCTCGGGACCCTAAGTTAATGACTAGGTCATAGTCAATGCTGGCCCAGTGCGGGTTGACTTCACATATATCTTTGAATTTCTTCGCAGATATGTGTAGCATCACCATGTTTTCTCTCGCCGTAAGAACGTCGGTTAAACCGAAGAACACATGTACATGGCTTTACTAAACTCAGGACCTACAGATTACAAATCAAGTACTTAACCACTGAACCACCAACGCTATACAATTTATTAAAACGAAAATAATACAGAGATTGTCATATATTTGTTAAACTAGGTGAACATTTTTCAAACTGTCTAAAATAAATTCCAGCTTGACACCTTCACGCGTTTTTGAGAAAATGGCTCTTTTTGCAACTGCTTATACCCAACTTCCAGAGGCTTCATCAAGCATCACGCCGGAACAAGACAAGTCGCTTGGCGGCGGGGTTTTGCCTGATGGGTGGTAACCTTGAAGCCTGCGGCGAACCTACGATATTTCTTGACAGACAGACGTATGGACAACAAAGTGATCTTATAAGGATTCCGTTTTTTTCCTATGAGGTACGGAACTCTAAAACAGTCATGTCTGAATAATATTTAATAAACTTGCAATCTTAATAACTTAAGGATAATATTTACTCAACCAAACTATAAAATAAATTTTTAATTTTCCTCAATCATTTCAAGTGAAATAATCATAAATTCCTAACTTACACGTAACTGATTATGACGAAATAAATGTTGGTAATATTTTATTTTTATTGTATTACTCTGCCATCTTTCAAACTTTCAAGTTTCCAATTAACTCCAAGTCGTATGCATAATAATATTCGGACATAAACACAAATCTGAAAAGGCCACCGGCGATGTATAAATGTCACCGGTAAATCGTACACTCCGCTTATTTGTAATTTGTCCCGACAACTTAAACTCTGCAAATTGAAGGTACGAATTTATTAACAAATCGACGTGACTTTTAATTTGACTACTTCGTTTTTTGATAAAGGTTCATTGACTTGAATTTCCTGTACATCCACAATTTAACGGTGACGTAAACAAATTCTAAACTTACCATAGGCAACTAACGAACGTAATATTTGTACTACTAAAAATAAATGCAAAACAATCCTAACCTGACCAATATAAAAACACAATGAGGGCGCCACAATCGGCATTGATATTAAACGTACGTACACGTCAATAATTCTAACTGTCTTATGTGATTTAAAAATAAAATCCAGTATTAGAGACATATTCTACGTAATTGCCTTTCGTTTTTTTTCTCCAAAATCAAAAATTACAAGGCGATAACAATATACTTTGGCAATTTGTTAATTACAACAATGTCAATGATTTTTTTAAACAAATTCTTGCCATTACTATAAAATAATTACTACCATTTTACGCAAAATTTCGAGATGTTCTTTTATTCTGAGCATAAATATTATGAAAAGAAAAGAATAGCTCATCAGTAGTATTTATCAAATGGAAATACGATGAACGATTAGCATTGTTCAGTACGGATTATTGACTACTTTGGATGGTGTATTGACTAGTTTGGATTGTATTTGGGTCGAACTTATTCATGTCGTGGTGTCTATGATAATGGACAGATTATACAATTCTCTCATTTGATGGATGAGCACATTCAGCATCGTCTTGGCGAAACTTAATGGTTTTCATTAAAACTTGCCAGTAGTTCTCAAACTGAATTATGGATTGTTCTTCTTCAATTATTACAGCTGATAGTTAATCTTATATATAAAATTCTCTTCACAATTTTTATTCCCATACTCCTCCGAAACGGCTTGACGGCTCATGAAATTTTGTGAGCATATTGAGTAAGTCTGAGAATCGGCCAACATCTATTTTGAATCCCGCGCGGACGGAGTCGCGGGCGACAGCTAGTTGTTATATAAAATATTTATTTATTATAAAAAGTTCTTCATATGAATACAGAACCCTCTCGATAAGCACTGATTTAAATCTATTTTTGAATGATGTGAGATCACCATCTATCACTAATTTAGTTTTTTTTAATAAAAAAGTAAAAGAACTTATGACAATTTTTGGTGTTTTCAATCAAAAACTATTTTTTTTTTTTTGTAAATAAAAAAAAAACAATTGTTATAATAATGGGGTTATAAAGAAGA